ATATATTTAAAGATAAAAAATTAAACTTAAAATATATAACTAAGATCATAAACAATCACATGATTAATAATTTTTTTTTATAGATAAATACATTTTTTTTCAAAACTTGGGTACCCTTTTACATGTTCCTTACAATTACATCACCATTGCATGAATCAGTACTCAAGCCTTTACCATCTTTTAAAAATCATCTCCTAGTTAATGCTTTCCTTGGATCTTCCTTCAAAATTTTCAGATATAATTCCGAATGACATTTTGCTTTTAACCAATAGAAAGGCCTATACTCGACAAGATGCATTACCTCTTCTATATTATCCACATCTTTTTCAAAAACATTTTTTTTTAAATAGAAGAAATTATATAATATAAAATTGTAAGTACATCAATGAATTTTAAAAAATTCAATCTCTATAATGTTTGCAATACACGCATATTTAACTGTTTGAGGAATACAATAAAAAAAAAATAACAAATTCAAGCAAAATGTTGTGCCCCATTTTAGCCATAATATCTGCTACTATATTTAATTCACGAACCACATGGGTGATCTTAACATACAGGATGCAAAAAGAGGTCCTGTAATCAAACAAAAGCAAGGCAAGCGGATAAAAGTTTGAGAGAGCCTTGGACAGTAGATAAATAACAGCAATATATAGTCAGATTCAACAATCAAATGAGAAATTATTAGTCATTGCAAGTTGAAGACCATTTTTTTTTTTTTTTTAACGTGGAGAATTATGGGAAAATGAGAAATTTTTTAAATAATTGAGAGGAATCGTAGTTTTAACCAACAAAATTCAAGCACTAAGTTTGAGGATACACCATTGAACTTGAAAATCTAATTTTTGAATACCATCCTTTCTATAGATCATAATTTAGTCACTAAAATTGACGACCAGCCAATCCTCCTAGTGTAAACCCTTCAAAAACATTTTGGTTACTCCACTCCATAATTTGTCCATATCAGTACTGTGCACCAAACCACGTGCTATACCTCCAACTCTATGATTTATCAAGTTCAAATGCTGCCCAAACCACATGATTAAATGTTAATGTCAGAAAAAATATACGATTATATGACCATAGATTTAAGAGCGTAGTTATTGCTACACACAAATCCGAATACCCAATATTGATGCAAAAATTCCATCAGTATTCCCACCACGAAGATCTATTGGAACCATGGAAATCATAATGTGCTATCTGTGACACCCACCCAATGTCTGTCCAATTCTGGTAGTAGCCGGATATGGGGCCAATTTTTTATTATGACTGAGCCAGGAATCTAACTTGTCGATGCTAAAAAATTAAGCAGTTTAGTTGTCTTTTTATGAAAGAAAGTAAAAAATTTTAAATTTAAATTATAAGCATGTAGGTGTCAAAAGAGTGTAAAATAAAAGAGATTTTTTTTTTTTTTTTTTAATTATGCGGCCTAAAATGATAAAAAAAAAAAATCCTCATCAATACTTTGTAAATGTTCCTCTCATATTTAATTTATCGTTTACATATAATTTTGAGTAAATATTAAATTTAGTCCTCAACTTTTATCATAACTATTAAATATTGTTCCAACCTTTCATTTAAATTAAAAAAAGTCTCAAATCTTTTTTAAAACACCAATTTTAATTCTACCATTAACCACTTTCATTAAATTCCATTGAAAATCCTACATAAAATCTTGAGAGGCCACTAAAACTAAATAGTAAAAAGAAAAAAAAAATGTTAAACCATTCTTCTTTCTAACAGCAAATGTGTGTGTATATATATATATATATATATTAACATCGTGGAATCTTTTTTTTTTTCTTTTGAAAAACTTCAAATATCATGTTTCAATTTTTTGCCTTGTACTTAATACCAGTCCCTTGCTTCAATCTTAACATAACTTAATAATTTAATAATATAATAAATTTCATAACTCAAATATTTTTCAAT